AAGGATTTTGAAGACAGTGTGACCAATAGCCAGGAAGCCTGGCTGACCCTTGAGAACAGATCTCATGGCCAGGTCCACAGACGAACCTTTCATCTGCACAGTCCCAAGGTCTCCTGCCCAGCTCCTCTGGGCTGGCTCTCAGTGGCAGCAAAACCCCTGAGCTAACCCTGCCAGCACTGGCTGGTTGTCAGGGAGGCAATAGGCTCTCTAGCTCTCCATCCTCTCTGCCACCGTATGTTTCCTAGGCCCTGCTTGATTAAAAGATTTTCTGATTACTGTCTGGAGATGCGGGCTGAGGTCTAGGAAAGAAAGCTATCTCAGTCTCCAGCAAAATAAATAAGACAGCAGTTTCAGTGGCTGGTATTTCTGATTCACAGCCCACACCTGGCTTTTAAGAGAGACGGTCCTGGTTGGTCTGACCTAGTTTTAACCCATGCAGCTGATATGAATGTGACAGCTTTACGGTCCTGTAAAGCTAGCCAGACCTGTGCGTATTTAAACAACCTTATCTAACATTCCTTCCTCCTCCCATATATAAACTTGCTCATAATAAACAGCCTATACTGCTAGTGTTCCTGTTGTGTGCCAGGCACTGTGTAGGAACTCACATGCATTAATTCAACAACTACCTCATGAGGTGTTACTAGCTGCTGTTCACAGAGTGTGTGTGTGTGTGTGTGGGGGGGTGTCCCCAAAACAATAAAACAAAAAAACCTTAAAACCTTAAAGTTCAGAGAGGTCTGTTGAACTTGTTCAAGGTCACACAGCTAGACAGGTAAAATGGATTGAAACCCAAGCAATGTGGAATCAGTGTTTGTGCTCTTGGAATGCCAGAGGAATCAGTGTGTTTCATTCCCTTGACTGGTCCCTTGTTAGCCAGCTCATGATAAACCTGGGGCATGTGTCACAATCCAAAAGGTGTCAGAGATGAAGCTCAACACATGAGAAATTAAGAGGTGCAAAAATAACCAAACTTAGGGAGGAAGTAAATAACAAATGTTTCCTGTGTCTCTGCATCTACACAGCTACTTGGGTGGTCGTAGGGCATCAATCAGGGGTGCAGCTATTTGAAAGATGGTCCTCACTAAAAGGTGGCATTGGCAGGCATCCTCCTGTCTAGCAAACCACCTCAGTGGGTGCTGAGATGTAGACACACCTGGCTTGCAGAGGGAAGAGGGTGTAGGCTGAATTGCCAGGCGTGAGAATGAAAGAGCATGCCCTTCACAGAGGAAAGCAGAGAAGCGTCGGGGAGCAGAGAGACCCAGGAAGACGGCAGCGAAGTTGCGCCTTGTGTGGGACGCAGCAGGTCAGGAAACAGCTGGTGGGTCTTTACACAGGAGGGGGCTACAGTTTGAATATGATTAATCTCGCCAAAAACTCACACAGAAATATACCCCCTATGAAGAAACAGTAAGATGTGGGACTTTTAAGAACCTCATGAATGTACAATTTCATTCATGGGATTACTGGATAGCTAGGTCATTGGATTATCCCCAAAAGGTCTGCAAACGCTATTTTGCTGAGCTGGCTCTCTGTTTCTCGCCATATGATGCCCTGTGCTGCCTTAGGGACAAGAAGGCCATCACCTTGTGCCAGAACCATGAGTGAAAATAAACCTCTCTCCTCTCTCTATTTATCCAGTCTAGATATTGTGTTCGCAGCAGAACAAAACTGGTCGAGACAAATAGCTACCTTTCAGTTGCCCCTGTGCAGCAGTGACTGAACTCATTGGAAGAAGAAACAAATCCTAAAAATAAACATTACTTCTGTGTCCATAGAGCTGTGTGGACTGGGGGGCAAGGAAGTACTGCCTAAGACATGAGTGTATCGACTGAGGAGGAGGCTCAGTTGGTAGAGAGTTTGCTCAGGAAGGAAGGGTGGCTCATGCCTGGAATTCCAGCACTAAGGAGTCAGGAGGTAGAGCCAGAGGGGCAGAAAGAAATTCAAAGCTGGACTGGGGAGACAACTTGGTGGTTAGAGAGCTTCCTGTGACAATGTGAGGGTCAGAGTTCTGATCCCCTGACCCACATACATACCAAGTGGGCATGACAGCCTACCTGTGATTCCAGCCTCGGAAGGTAGAGACAGGGGACCCCCAGAGTAAGCTAGCCAGCCACATCAACAGACTCTGGGGTTCCTTTAGAGACCCAGTCACAATAGTAAGCTGGAGGAGCTATTGAGGATGCCTCCCGATATCAACCCACATGCATGTATACTCACATGCACAAGCACCTCCACATATGTGTACACACACATACAAAACATGCATGTATACACACTTGCCCATACCCCCCCCCCACACACACACAATAGAATGGGAGAAAAGTTCAAGGTCCTCCTTGGCTACATAGCAAGTTGGAGCCAGCTTAGTTTACATGAGAATCTGTCTCAAAAGAAAATTTCCAGGCATAATGGCACACATTTGTAATCTCAACACTTGGGAAACAGAAGCAGGCTAGCTGGGGCTACATAGTGAGACCCCCCCACACATTTAAAAATGCACATCCACACATACGGAGGCTGGAGAGACTGCTCAGCTAGCTGTTAAGAGTACTGACTGCTCTTCCAGAGGACCCAGGTTTGATTCCCAGCACCACATGGCAGCTCACAACTATAACTCCAGTCCCAGGCCCTCGATAACTAACTCCAGTCCCAGGTCCTTGATAACTAAACTCCAGTGCCAGGTCTTCTATAACTCCAGTCCCAGGCTCTCTTCTGGGATGAATCATGCATATGTTACACACACATACATGTAGGCAATACATCCATACCCATATATAATAAATATATTCTAATAATATAAAAGGAATAAAAGAACAGATATAGCTTGTTGAACCATGAGCAATAGAAGAAAGAGTAGAAGGTAGTGTGTGAACAACGTCCTTCTCTACCCATGAATCTTTGCACAACACAGGTTTGTGTGCCAGTCAGCGATGAGGGGCTAAGGGCTGGGGTGGGGGTGGGGATCCAGCTGGAGAGGAGCGGGTCTGTGGGTCACGGGCTCAGGGCGAGTTGTTGGGTGGGAGACCGTTTGCAGAAACAATGGAGATCCTGCCATCCCCAGAGTTTCTGGGAGAACATGGGCTTCTGCCAGACACAGTCTGGGCAATGCCCAACTTTGTCCAGCCACAGTGGCATCTCGTCTCTGAAATGCTGTGCAGGCTCTGCTCCCACACCAGGCACCTGGTGTGGGACTCTGTGCCAAGAGCTCTGTGGGCTGGCACAGGTCCCTGGTGGAGTCTGCTGACAGCTAAGCCCTAGACTCTCTCTCAAACAGCAGCCACTAGGGTTTCATAAATGTATAGTGCCAGTCCGCCCCCTCTCCCCACACCTGAGTCAGAAAAACCCTTCAGGCCTCTCAAAGCCTCATCCTGATTCCAAGCTAAGCCTCTTTCCCTTGATAGGGCCAGTCACACCTACCCTCCCTAGCTGGCCTGTCTCAACCTATGTATTTAGTCCATGGGACTTCAGCGGTACAGAGATGGGCCCATGACAGGGCTGAGCCATGCACTCTCCACACAGAACTTGGTTTTGTTAGTTGGGGGTCATTTGGTTTATTATTTTTAAAATTCTACTTCTTTTTCTCTTTGAGTTTTTGAGGCAGAATCAAACACTGTAGCTTAGGCTTGCCTGGGAATCACTATGTAGCCTAGGCTGGCCTTGAACTCTCAGCAATCCTTCTGCCTGAGCCCCCCCCCCCCAAAGTGTGGGGATTACTATTATCTTTTAAAGGAGCAAAATTTTTTAAATGATTTTTTATTTTATGTGCAATGGCATTTTGCCTGTATGTGTGTCTGGGTGAGGGTGTCAGACTCCCTGGGACTGGAGGTACAGACGGTTGTGAGATGCCGGTTGTGGTGGTTATGGGTCCTGGGAACTCCAGATCTCCAGCCCCTACTACTTTAAATTTTGCGTTTGTGTGAGAATGTACATGGAGTGTAGGTGACCCTGGAGACTCTCTCTCTGGAACTGGAGTTGCAGGTGGTTGTGAGTCACTAAATGTGGGTGCTGGGAACTGAATTTGGGCCTTCTTCTCAAACAGTGTGTGCACTTAACCTCTGAGCCATCACTCCAGCCCTCCTTGTAAGTACTTTTATTTGTTTTTAGGTTGTGAGAGAAGAAACTGAGGGACAGAGGGTGACTGGGGTACAAGCCCTGACTGGACTACACCTCTCTCTAGCTTGTGACTGGGACAAGCGCTGCCTATATTTGGCCCCCCCAAGTGGATGAGGGCGTGAGGAAAGCCAGAAGGGCCTGTGGGCTGAGGAGCCACGGGAGAGTAGAGGTGGGAGGGGTCGGAGGGAGAGAAGGCAGGGGGAGCTCAGAACAAGGGTGGGAAAGGAAGGAGACAGGACGCCCTTTAGGCTTTGCAGAAGCGGGGGTCTGAGTAGGTGAGGCCGGGTGGGCAGGAGGGTAGGTGGCTGTCAGTAAGTATCACCCCACAGGGAGGTCCCCACAGAAAAGGATTGAACGAGCTGGATGGTGAACTGACTTTCTCTGCACTTCCTCCTCTTGTGGATGAGAGTGAGGGAGCCAAGCATTCACCCACCCCTAGGGACTCTCCAGGGGCTGCTGTCCAGGAGCAGGGCCAGGGCTGACAAGCAAGCTAGTAGGTCAGTCTCCCTCACCCCTTTTTCTCCCTTCCTCCTCTCTGCCATTGAGACAGGACTCATGTAGGCAGGCTGGCCTAAAACTTATATAATCAAGGCTGGATCCTCCTGCCTCTGTCTCCTGAGTGCTGGGATTATAGGTGTGTGCCACCATGCTCAGCATGTTAATTGGTTTTCAAGGTCTTTCCCCCTCCATGCCTAATAAGAAAGAGGAAACGGATCGCTGAGACGGCAGAGTGGGTGAAGGCATTTTCTGTCTAAGCTGCCAAGTTTGATTTTGGGAACTCACAATAGAAGGAGAAGCTGACTTCTGAAAGCTAGCACCAACCCGAAATAAATACAGTTTGAGAAAAAGAACTTAAAAAAAATAAAATAAGAGTGAAATAGTACCATTTTAGAGATGAAACTGGGGCCAGTTGTATCCAGTGGCTTTCTGAGGTCACGAAGTTGGTTGGGGTGTAGGCAGGATGCAAACTAGACAAACTGGCTAATAAATATGAGCCCTAAAGCAATGGGTGCCAGGAACAGGTTTGGGGGTACTTCTCAGGGTGAGCAGTGTTGATTGGACAGCCCCACCCACCACACCTTCCTACCATCTGCTTATTTTGGGTGGGCAAAGGGCTGAGGCTTTTCTAGGGACTCTGCCTTGGGCAACTAACATGTCCTGTGGGCCAAACCACAGAAGTTTCATGCACCTGCCTGAGGTAGACCTGGCAGAGGCTAGCAGGGTGGGAGGGGAGAAGGGAAGGGAGGACAGAGCGGGGAGGGGAAGGAGAGAGCTAGAAGGGACTAGGTCTGAGAAGGAAGGAAAGAAGGGCCCTGTTTGAACATTTGTTCCTCATTGGGACCTAGCAGCCCTAGACTTGTTCTCAGTGGGAGGGCAGGCAGGAGGAATGGAAAGGCCACACAGGGGTGAAGGGTTTGAGAAGGGCAGGGGATTCCCCCAATAGGCTCTTTCGATTGTCCTGAATCACCTGGTCCCCAAGGTGCACGTGTACACAAGCTGCATACAGCAGCTGGGTTCCTTCTTCCCCTCTAAGTTCACTTACTGTAAGAAAAAAAGCACCAGTTCCCTGCTCCACGTGTGATCTCACTTGATCTGCTGAGCAATCCTGTGATGTGAGCAAGAAGTATCTAATCGATCGGTTGATTTTTATTTATGTATTTTTGAGACAGGGCCTTATATTGTAACCCAGGCTGACTGGAAACTCAGTATGTAGCCTGAACTCTGCTTGTACTTAGACAATCCTCCCACCTCTGTCTCCCAAATTATGAGGTGACAGGTATAATACGCCTTTTTATTCATTTGTCTGTTTGGTTCTGAGGGTCTAGACCCAGAGTCTTTCATACGCTGAGCACACAGGGAGTTCCCCACCTGCTTCATGCTAAGTTTCATACTTGTGTAAATTGAGCCTCGGGATGGTGAAGTGACTTGCCTGGACAGCACAGAGGACAAGCAGAGGTGGGATTCGAACCCAGGAAGATAGGCGCCAATTTCAGTTCCCAAACCCTCAGCACAGACTGTGAGTACCCTGGCCTCTACCTGTCTCTTAACTCAGGGTGTTTTCAAGTTCAGGGAGAGCCTGTCTGCTTCATAAGTCCTGTCCTGACCCCTTGAGGTATGAGGAAGCACACCCCATGCGGGAGCTCGGATGGGGATTAGCGGCATTCTGTCATTTAGGCCTGGAGCAAGGGCCAGACAGCCAGGATCCTTGGAAATCCACAGGGTGACTGGACATTCAAGGTTTTGTGGGAGTCGTTGGGAGGTTTCCAACCCTGGACAGACCTTGCTTGAGGAACAGCGTGGATCATGTGCCCAGAAGCCTACTTAGGCCTCTCTGTGTCCAAACCCTTCTGTATTCAACAACACTTCCTGCTGCTGCCCACAGCCCGGCTGCTTGACTGAGCTGTACACACATCTCCTCAGGTACCTCAGATGTTTCCATTGGCCTTTTGCCCTCAAGAGTTTCACACCTGCCCCCTCAGGGAGCTAACTGGGATCACGGTGACAGGTGGGTTCCGGCTGACCACAGTCTGACACTTCTGCCTTCCCTTTGCTGTGGTTAGTCTCTCAGCACACAGGGTCCAGGGCTGTGGGCCACAGGAAGCCTTCATGGCTTTCTGGGGAGGTTCATGTAAAAGATAAAGCATGGGCAAAGAGGATCGTGACTGTGGGGTGCCCCTCTTACTGCCTATTGAAAGCAAACAACTCAAGGCCTGTTGTATCTGGTATGATTGTCCTGGTCTGTGTCCTGGCCAGGAATGAGGGGACAGGAATGAGGATAGAAATGGAACCCAAAGCTGGGATCAGAATGAGCGAGGGGAGAAAGGTGGCTGCTGTAGCTGGTGTGGGGGCAGAAGGCTCTAAAGCAGAGGGGCTAGGATTGCCACCCACTGTCCTTGCTTTGAGCCTCTGGGGGAAAGACAAAGGCTGAGAGTGTGGTTTTGGCTCCTTAGCCTTCCCACTGTGTTCAGAACTTCTCCTCAGAGAAAGCAAGCAGACTTCAGGTCTCACCTTCTTTGAGCCCTGTCACCCCAGGCATGCCAGTGGAAAGAAGAGGGACACAGACTCCCCTGAGCCCTCTCAACCTGCCCTGTTTTTCCGGGTGAGTCAGAATTCTGGTCCCTGGTCCCCCTCCGCACACTTGCCCATAGTCAAGGCTCCTTTAGAACCGAGGATGATGGCACATGCCTGTAAACCCAGCACTCTGGAGACAGGCAAGGCGGGGGGTGCCACAAGTTCAAGGCCATTGTGGTCTACTGAGTGAGCCTAGACCCTTCATAAACAGAAGCCCTGAATTTTGCAGCTGAGTGGAGACTTAGGATCTGAGCCTGGTTTAGGCTTAGGACCCCGTCTGTATCCAGGCATTCCTGAGACGTCCCTGGCTTCTCCACGGGTGATGCTGGTGGCTTTTGTCCCTGCAGGCGATGCATCAGTTTTCCCACACTGGAGTTTTTCTGGCAAAGCTTCTTCCCAGCTGTAGGAGAGGTGCTTGACTCCCACTGCTGGGGCTCTAAGCTTAAGACTAACAGCTCAGGGTCAGCAAGGGCTTGCCTCTCAGTCTGTAGGCCTTGGTTGGGCGTGAGAATGACTTCCTGTCCTGCTGGGTCCCTTGTACCTCTCACCCTCCTGTTCAGAGTGGTCATTCATTCAGTCCTGGAATGTATCATCCCCTGAGCCTGAACAATACCCCTGTGACTCCTCCTACCCCATTTCTTTTCCTGTCCTGTGTCTGAGGGAGGGAGTGGTTAGATGCTTTTCTCAGATGGTTAAATCCTCACCTCTGGCAGATGCCTTCTGTCACCCTCTATGGGCCATAGGGCTATTGCTTTTATTTTTATTAATATTTATTTTTGGCATTTGTGAGAGACGGTTTCTCCATGGAGTGCTGGCTGGCCTGGAACTCTCCTCGAACTCACAGAGATCCACCTCCCTCTGCCTCCTGAGTGCTGCGATTAAAGGCAGTGCCGCCACCACCTGGCTTTTTTACTTTTATTTTTTTGAGTCAGGGTCTCATGTAGCTCAGGCTAGCCTTGAATTCACTGTGTAGCTGAAGATGATTTTGAATTTCCGTAATCTGCCTGCCTCCACCTCCCAAGTGCTAGGATTATAGGCATGTGTTTCCACACCTGATTTGTGTGAAACCCTGGGCTTTGTGCGTGCTAGGGCAAGCACATTACTAAAGGAACTACAGCTGCAGTCCAAGGCTGTGGCTGTTTGTATTACTTTGTCTCAGATGGGAACATTGAGCTTAGAAAAGAGACATCTCAGGTGACACATGCCTTTAATCCCAGCACTCAGGAGGCCCACGCAGGTGGATCTTTGTGAATTCAAGGCCAGCCTGGTCTACAGAATGAGTTCCAGGACAACCAAAGATACGCAGAGAAACCTTGTCTCAAAAAAAAAAAAAAAACCAAAAGAAAAAGAAAGGAAGGAAGGAAGGGAGACAGAGAGAGAGAGAGAGAGAGAGAAAAGAAAAAAGAAAGAAAGAGAAAGAAAGAAAGAAAGAAAAGAAAGGAGACATCTCACCCAGCTCTTTACCAGAGCGATGCTCTGGGCCATGGCGCCTACACTACCTCTGGCAGACAGAGAGTCTTCTGTTTTAGCAGTCCTGGAACTCTCTAACCACCTGCTGTTGCTTCCTAAGTATGCTGGGATTACATGTGTATGTACACCCTGCCTCCCCCTCCCCCCATTTCTGTGTCTCTTCAGCCTAGCTGTTAGGCTGAGGTAGGGGCACTCAGCTCACTCCCTTCAAGGGACTGTGAGACGGAAGGCTGATTCAAAGAACTGAGAGGTTACGAAAAGGGTGAAGGAAACCAGAGAGTCAGGGCAGATAGAAATGGTTCAAGGGGTGAGTCGAACCACGTTCTAAACCCTGAGCTGTATACAGCCACCTGGGGGACTTTGAAGAGCATCTGCCTACTACTTGGGGATTTGTCCCCACTGGGTTTGAGCTATTCCTTAGTTCTGACATCTCCTAACACTCCAGCTGCCTGGGGTCACCAGACAAATAAGCATCAATGGCTGACGCGGGGACGTTAGATGCTGGTTCAGGGTCTGAGGGACTGCTTGTCTTGTGTGGGGATCTTCTCCCTCCTAGCCGTGTACCCGTCTCCTGAGGGATGTTTCGGTCCCCTCTACTATGCTGAGAGGCACCTGAGGAATGGGGAGACTGGGGACATACAGGTCTAGACTTGTAAGACACGGGGCCCTGAGGTCATGGAGACCTCCTAAAGCCCCTTCCCAGGGGAGTTGTTCAGAGACAGACAGGCCTTGATGAGGTGCTAATTGCTGAGCTAATTGGAGCCAGAGCAAGCTACAGATGGCCTGGATGATAGGGGGTGGGGACTGCACAGGGAGGCACGAAGGGCTAGGGCAAATAGAGGAAGGCCAAGCCCTGGGCTGGCGCCCATGAGCGGACTGTTTGTTCAGGGCGCATCGATTTATTGGAGATGACCAGCCACTTTGAAAGTCATCCCTGTCTCCACACCTCTGTCCTGGCCCTGGTTTTCTCTCTGTGAAAATATTTGTGTTCTGAGGCCACTGCTTGTCGAGGCAGGTTCACTGAGCGTCCGGGGGACAGTGCTCTGCTGGGCAGGGGAGTGACCAAGGAGGAGGGACCATTCCAGGCCTAGGCAGGCACAGTGCTGGGTTGGAGTTGCAATCTATGCTATTGTACTTAGCTCTTGGTTCTAGAAGGAAGGAAGTTCAAGCTGGCGCTGGCTGCTGTTGGGCACTGGATAAAAGGGTCCTCCTGCTGTCCCGTATCATGGAGAACATCCCATGGTGACAGAGAACAAGCTTGCCAGAGAACTCTGATTTGAGAGTAGTCACTCTGCCAAGAGCCATTTGTCTGTGAGTCAATCCACTCATGAGGGCGGAGCCTTCCTGACTTCTCCAAATGCCATTAACATATACATTGGGAGATTAATTTCCCAACATTTGAAGGGAGAATAGAGTCACCAAACATCCGT